GTCTTCTTCCGTCTGTGAGTCACCCACCCAGCAGTTATGGGGTTTGATTTTACTGTGATTGCGCCCCTCCTACAGTCTCATTGGGGCTTCTCCTTTGTCTTTGGATGTGGGGTATCTTTTTTGGTGAGTTCCAGTGTCTTCCTGTCGATGATTGTCCAGCAGCTAGTTGTGATTCTGGTGTTCTCGCAAGAGGGAATGAGAGCACATCCTTCTACTCTGCCATCTTGGTTCCAAAACTACCACATCTTCTTTATCCATTCATCTGTTGAAGGACATTTAGGTTGCTTCCATGTCTTGGCTATTGTAAACGGTACTGCTATGAACATTGGGGTGCATGCATCTTTTTGAATAAGAGATTTTCGGATATATGCCCAGGAGTGGGGATTGCTTGATCATATGGTATCTCTACTTTTAGTTTTTTAAGGAACCTCCATAATGTTCTCCATAGTGGCTGCACCAATTTACATTCCCACCAACAGTGTGGAAGGGTTCCCTCTTACACACCCTCTCCAGCATTTATTATTTGTAGACTTTTTGATGATGGCCAATTCTGACTGGTGTGAGATGATACCTTATTGTAGTTTTGATTTGTATTTCTCTAATAATTAGCGATGTTGAGCATATGCCTGCTGGCCATCTGTATGTCCTCTTTGGAGAAATGTCTATTTAGGTCTTCTGTCCATTTTTTGATAGGTTGTTTGTTTTTTTGGTATTCAGCTGTATGGGCTATTTGTATATTTTGGATATTAAGCCCTTGGCAGTCGCATTGTTAGCAAACATATCCTCCCAGTCTGTAGGTTGTCTTTTTGTTTTGTTTATGGTTTCCTTGCTGTGCAAAAGCTTATAAGTTTGATTAGGTCCCATTTGTTTATTTTTGCTTTTATTTCTTTTGCCTTGGGAGACTGACTTAAGAAAACTTTGCTATATGTCAGAGAATGTTTTGCCTATGTTCTCTTCTAGAAGTTTTATGGTGTCATGTCTTATATTTAAGTTTTTAAGCCATTTTGAGTTTTTTTGTGTGTGTATTGTGTGAAGGAGTGTTCTAACTTCATTGATTTATATGCTGCTGTCCAGCTTTCCCAATACTACTTGCTGAAGAGACTGTCTTTTCCCTATTGTATATTCTTGCCTCCTTTGTTGAAGATTAATTGACCGTAGGTGTGTGGGTTCATTTCTGGGCTCTCTGTTCTGTTCCATTGATCCATATATGTTTTTGTGCCAATACCAAGCTGTTTTGATTACTCTAGCTTTGTAGTATTGTCTGAAGTCTGGGAGGGTTATATCTCCAGATTTGTTCTTTTTGCTCAGAATTGCTTTGGCAGTTCTGGGTCTTTTGTGGTTCCATATAAATTTTAGGATTATTTGTTCTTGTTCTGTGAAAAATGTCATGGGTAACTTGATAGGGATCACATTAAATCTGTAGATTGCTTTGGGTAGTATGGCCACTTTAACAATATTAATTCTTCCAATCCAAGAGCATGGGCTGTCTTTCCATTTCTTTGAATCATCTTCAGTTTCCTTTATCAATGTTTTATAGTTCTCAGCATATAAGTCTTTCACATCCTTCGTCAAGTTTATTCCTAAGTATTTTATTTTTTTGATGCAATTTTATTTTATTTTTATTATTTATTTATTTATTTATTTGGCGGCTTGTGGGATCTCAGTTCTCTGACCAGGGATTGAACCTGGGCCATGGTAGTGCAAGCCTGGAATCCCAACCACTAGGCCATCAGGGAACTCCCTGATGCGATTTTAAAAAGGATTGTTTTTTATTTTCCTTTTCTGATATTTCATTGTTAGTGTAAAGAAATGCAGATTTCTGTATGTTAATCTTGTATCCTGCTACCTTGCTGAATTTATTTATCAGTTCTGGTAGTTTTCGTGTGGAGTCTTTAGGGTTTCCTATATATAGTATCATCGTTTTATTATTTATTTTTATTGGAGTATAGTTGCTTTCCAATATTGTGTTAGTTTATACTGTACAGCAAAGTGAATCAATACAAAGAAACAATTACTACATGCTATTTTAAAAACCTCTTATTATCTATTCAAAACCAAAATAGATCCTTACATTTAAGATAATTTAGGAATAGTCCCACCTGAACCTGGGATGGATTTTAACCTTCAACAACTTCCTTGAACTTGAAAATTCCGTAATACAAGAACAAGAAGACTTTCTACCAAACAGCACTGAATGATTGGTTAATAAAAATCAAATAAGGTGAATATACAAGGAAAAAGCAGCTTGTATTAGCTTTTAAATAGCAGGTCAGGAAACCTACAAAATAGCTTTTATTCCTTCCCTATATGTAGGGACATCTTTGAGCCTTACAGGGTCCCTTTGAGCCTTGACATCTTTGAGCCTTACAGGGTCCCAGAGGCCTAACCATGAGTTCTACTCTCACCAGATATGCCCCTCGCCCAGTGGGAAAAGTCCCCTACTCACTAGTTTCCCTGTCAGCTGGACCAGCTGAACGCGACCCGTCCTCAACCTAATGGGCTTCACCTCCCCACAGCATGTGGATTATTCAAACAAACCAATCATATCCTCCCATGGGAACCAAGGGTCACCTCACCCTCTTGTTACTACAAAGCCTGCCTCTCGTAGCCCGTTTGTTCAGTCTATTTCTGAGAACAGTGCAGTGTGGCACTACATGGTGTTTTGTGTCCTCCTCCCCTGGGCTGTGAATATATGTGATTAATAAATTGCTGTCAATCACATAGGTCCAGTGTCAGGTGTTGTGTGTTTGGCCATTCCCAGAACCCTAGGGTGGGACTCTCCCACACCAGTGGGATGAAGAGAAGGTGAACAGAATACTTTATCTCCTATCCAATCAGCTCCTGCTTCCTGCAGCTACTGCCACCTTTTTGTTGCTGCAACATTTCTCAGTCTCCCATTAGCCTGACCTCTTGCCCCAGACAAAATCATCAGATTCAGCAAACTTGGCACCAGCTCCAACTGGTGCACTGTTTACCTTACAAATAACCCACAATCACTGTCATCCCACTAAGCCATTAAAACCATCTGCTGCAAACTCCTCTACGACAACTTACGCAGCCCTTGCTCCTCTGTCTCAGAGCTGAGGAGTCAGAGCCAAAGCCAATCTTATGCCTTTTTGTAGACTAGGCATTTAGTACAGGTTTACTTATTGATTTGGTACCTACTGACAGAGGGTGCTTGTGTGGATAGGACAGTGGGATCAGTGTCTTTCTAAACAAGGGCAGACTCATGTAATGAACACACTGGCGGAGCACAGGCTCCGGACGCGCAGGCCCAGCGGCCATGGCTCACGGGCCTAGCCGCTCTGCGGCATGTGGGATCCTCCCGGACCGGGGCACGAACCCATGTCCCCTGCATCGGCAGGTGGACTCTCAACCACTGCGCCACCAGGGAAGCCCCCAGCACCATTTATTGAAGAGACTGTTCTTCCTCATTGAATGGTCTTGGCACTCTTGTCAAAAATCAGTTGGCCATCAGTTGGCCATAGATAGTTTATCCCTGGACTCTTAATTCTATTTCATTGATGTATATGTCTCTCCTTGTGCCAGTAACACACTGACTTAGTTACTGTTGCTTTGTAATAAGTTTTGAAATTGGGAAATGTGAGTCCTCCTACTTTATTCTTTTTTAGAATTGTTTTGGTTATTCAAGGTCCCTTGAAGTTCCATGTGTGTTTTGGAATTAGCTTGTCAATTTTTACAAAGAAGTCAGCTGAGATTCTGGTAGGTGTTGTGTTGAATCTGTAGATCAATCTGGGGAGTATTGCCATCTTGATAATGTTGTCTTCCAATCCATGAACCTGAGATTTTTAAAAAAATCTTTTTTCCTTAAATTTCTTAAAAAAAAAAGAGTAGTCGATTTACAGTGCTGTTAGTTTTGGTATATAGTGAAGTGATTCATAAAAAAATCCTTACTTAGATCTTTTTTAATTTCTTTCAATAATTTTTCAGTTTTCAGAGTGTACATTTCGCACTCCTTTTGTAAATTTATTCCTAAGTATCATTCTTCCTGATGCTATTAAGAATGGAAGTTTTAAAATATTTCATTTTCAGGTTATTCATTGAAAGTATGTAAAAATACAACTGATTTTTGTATACTGAGCTTGTAATCTGCAACCTTGCTGAACTCATTTATTAATTCTAGTAGTTTTAAGTGCATTTCTTACGACTTTTCTATGTATAAGATCATGTGTTCTGTGAATAGATATAGTTTTACTTTTTCCTTTCCAATCTGGATGCCTTTTACTTCTTTTTCTTGCCTAATAGACCTGGCTAGAACCTCCAGTACAATGTGAATATAAGTAGTGAGAATGAACATGCTTTTCTTTTTCAAGATCTTAGGGGGGAAAGTATTCAGTCTTTTACCATTAAGTGATGTTAGTGGTGGTTTTTTCGCAGATGCCCTTTATCAGGCTGGGGAAATTCCCTTTTACTCCTAGTTTTTTGAGTGTGTTTATCACGAAGGGTTGTTCCCTGGTTGCTCTTATGTCATGATGGAAGACAGATGGATAATCCTGTGCCATGGGATTGCTCTTCTTGACCAGCCAATGGCCTCTCACCTATTCTCCCTGCTGGTAGCAGTGTGAGTAAGCTAGGGGTTCAGTCAGCACTAAAAGATTATTCTAGGAATGTTGTGCTTATGGCCTAAAGAATTCAAGAAACGACATGGTTGGAGGTACATTGTTCTACATTTACATTATAAAATTCCAAAGGGTAAATTTAACAATCTAGAAAACAAATTACCATTCAGACTTGACTATATACTCTGGGTAAGATTTGCATTTGTGCTCATCATTAATGAAACACTGTAGCAACCAATGAAAGAGTCTTTAGAAGCCTGTGTTCACAGGTGGCAAGATGGATGATGTGGTGGCATAAGTAATGATGTAACTAGCGTTAAATAAATGGTATAGGAAACTAGAGAGGCAAGAAGATCTATATTGTTTCAAAACAAAAAGGTTCTAAAGTTATGACCTTGTGAGTAATAATACCATCATTACCTTTTTCTCATGTGTGAGATGTGAAATTAGCTAGGAATGATGCATCTGAAATAAAGACAAAAAGAGATGGTTCTTAGTACCAAGAATTTTATGTGCACTGATATGACAGCAAGCAAATATGTAAGTCCCACTTCTTTACCCATTACCCCAAATCTTCATTAATAAAATATTATACTTCACATGGGGTCATGAATTTCATAATACATATTTTAATCAAATTGTTTACATAATCAGGGTCCTTGCAAAAACATTTACTTGGGATCCTGCATATTGTAAACATGGTCCTGGAGGCTGTACAGTAAAACCAACGGTTAGGAGTATGGGCTCTGGAGTCAGAATACCCAGATTCCACTTAATAGCTAGGTGACCTTGGACAGGTTGTTTAATCTCTCTGTGCCTCACTTTCTACATCTGTATAATGTAAACAATGAAAGTATGGTACTTCATGGTGGCGTTGTGAAGTTTAAATTACTTAATATGTACACTGTTTAGTGTGTGGCATTTCATTTAAAAGTGAGAGCAATATATAGCACTGTACTTTAAGACCCTGTACTGTCTTCCCTACTGGTAAGTTTCATGGTAGTAAGGACAAAATGAGTTCCTCTTTGTATTCCCCACACGATGAAGTGAATTGTATTTGTGACATAGAAACTGAATTCATCTGGAAACTTGGGGTATATTAAAATGTAAATAAAATATTTTAAAAATTAAAAAATAATTTAAATAAAAAGAGCCTTAGCATATCGTTTGTATTTCTTTAGTTATTGCTTTATAATTAGTTGTTGGGGGGCTTCATGACTTTTAACTTTTTTTGTTACCCCCACTTTCTTCAAAGTACCTAGTTCGGTAAAAATGCACATTACAGCCCTCAGAACGGCTAATTGGATAGTCTGAAGGACAAGGGTGCTGCAGCAAAAAGTGGGCCACATCAGGGTACAGCTTTGCTGATGGAGACAGAAGACCAATCATCTCAGAAAGCGGCGCACAGAAAGAGTTGGGCCAGTCAAGCACTTTGTGAGGCTCATTTGGACCCTCCGTTGTGCGGTACTGCTAAAGTCTATGCCCTGATGCCAGGGTCGTGGGGCCGGAGGCCTGAGTGGGCAGCTGGCCTCGGTAGGAGAGGCTGGCTTCAGCCGAGGCCGCCGGGTGAGTCATTCTCACCTCCCCAGGCAGGAGCGGGCGGCCGGACGCTTCGCCCCGGCGCGGGCGGTACTGGGAGGTGCCGCAGCCCCCGAAGAGCCCCCTCCCGGGCCGCCTCCTCCGGGCGGGCACTAACCCTCCCGCGGCGCTGGTGGGGAGCGCCCACTGGCACCCGGACCCACAGCTCTTCGGGGCGGGCCGCCGCTCCTCAGCCGTCCTTTTAGCGCCTCATCCCGCTTGCTGTAGCTTGCTGTAGCCGACTGAAGCGCGCGAGAGGAGCGTGGAGGAGCAGGAGGGCGGGGCGGGGCGGGGCGGAGCGCACGTCTCCAGGCCGCGCCGTACCCGCGTGGGGCGCGGAGGGTGGGTGTGTTCTAGACGCGCGGGCTGACGCCATCTCACCGTGCTGCTCCACCCGCGCCGCGTGCTCCCAGCGCTCGGGTAATTCGGGTAACCCGGGTAGGCCAGGGTCAGCCAGCGCCGGACCAGCGTCCAGCATCGTGGCCGTCCCGGTAAGCGGGGGCGGGGTCGGCGGGGACCTGGCAGGCACCGTGAGGGGCGGGTCTGCGGGCAGCGGACTCTGAGGTGTTGTATGGGAGCCGCCCCCGAGGGGGTCCCTGTGCATATGAGCCACGAGTGTCCCTGCCTCTACCCCTTGGGAGCGTCCCGGAAGCGGTGTGCGGAGCCGCACCCATGGAAGACCCACGTGCAAATGGAGACTCTCAGGGCTCTCTCTGCATTTGCTGCCACGAGGAGTCCCTGTGTGCAGGACACCAGCCCCAGAGAGACCAGCTGTGTACATACGGGACGGCAAGGGTGGTCTCTGGTGTTGTCTCAGTGGAAGAGCATTTGGGAACATGGGGAGCCTCGGGAGCCTGCACTGTGGGGATGGACCCCACAGAGGACCGCTGTATATATACAGGAGGACCTGAGACTGTTCCTCAGAACTGCCTGGAAGGAATCTCTAACTGGAAGGAGAGGTTCAGGAGTAACTTCCCTTATGCCCAAAGGTCTTTGGCCTTGACCTCCTTGAGGGTTCAGTGTGCCTTAAGTTGTGATCCCTCCAACGTGGTCGAGAGGCAGGGGCCCTGTGGGACTGCGCCTTTGTCCATTCCTCCCCGAACCCCGTTAGAATGTGTATTCTCCGTGGTAGCCCAGTTGGCTTCAAGCTGGATTTTAGTGGAGGCAGGAACTTAAGTAGGAGAACAAGGTGTAAGAGAGGAGAGGACCAGAGAGACCTCTGAAGCAAAGAAAGGAGATTTGAGGCTCTGGGCTTGACTCTCAGGAAGAAAACAGTAAAATCAGGTAGAATAACTGACTCTGGCAGGTCCTGTAAAGAAAGTACTTTGAAGGAAAAAAGAAAGGATACGTAGGATTATTGAGCACCAGTGTGCGAGGCACTATACTAGCTATGTTTAATCGTATAACTCTTAAAATAACGTTGTGAAATTATCCCTTGAGGGATAATTAAACTGAGACTTAGATTAAGCAACTTGATAAAGGTCATAAAGGTTGGAATCATGAAATCTGTTTTTCAGATTTTATTTGGGAAGAAATATTAGAGACAGAAGCAAGAGTATATGTTTGCCTAAATTTAAGAGCTAGAACTATAAAACTCTTAGAAGAAAGCAGGTGAAAATCTCCGTGACCTTGGATTTGGGAATGGTTTCTTAAGTATGACATTAAAAGCACAACAAAAGAAAAAAATAGATAAATTGGACTTCATCAAAATTTAAATCTTTTGCGTTTCAAAGGGCACTATCATTTGATAGTGAGAAGACAACCCATGGAATGGGAGGAAATATTTGCAAATCATATAGCTGATAAGGGATTAATAATCCAGTTAAAAAAAGAACTCCTGCAACTCAACAACAGCAAAAAATCCAGCCCAATTCAAAAATGGGAAAAGGACATGAATAGACATTTCTTCAAACAAGATATACAAATGGCCAACCAGCACATGCAAAGGTGCTCAGCATCATTAGTCATTAGGGAAATGCAAATGAAAACCGCAGTGAGATATTACTTTGCATCCACAGCAGGCTATTCTCAAAAAGAAAAAAAAAAGGAAAATAACATGTTTGCGAGGATGTGGAAAAATTAGAATTCTGCTGCATTGCTGGTGGAAATGTAAAGGGTGCAGCTGCTGTAGAAAATGTTTCATGGTTCCTCAAAATGTTAAAAAGAACTTCCATATAACCTAGCAATTCTACTCTGGGGTAAATATCCAAAAGAAATGTGATGTGTTATGGAAACTGACTAAATTCCAAAATTTAGTAGCTTTCTCCTGTGATCAGAGAAATCCCTACTTCCCTTTTCAAAGGTTTCTTTTGCTTTATTACTGCCTGGGGTTTACCCCTCCACATGTTCTAAAGATCACAGTTAGTTACATTTTTGAGCCTTTTACAAATGTCTGCCAGTCCCACATCAAGAATCAAATGAAGGCACAAAAGGATAATTTACATTTAATATGCAGGATGAGATGGTTACAGCCTATTAGGAGGGCTGCAGGCTCTCCATAGCTACATGTCTTTATAGAATGAGCTGAGGGAGAGGAGTTCCCTAGATGCCTTCTCCTTCCCTATTTCTTCCCTAGCTCATACTGTGGAATTAGGGTGTGCCTTGCATACACGCAAATTCCATGCTGCCCATGTATGCCTTACTGCCTTACAGATGCTTCTCTTACTCTCACGGTTACAGCAGTGTATTAGTTTTCTATTACTGTGTAACAAATTACCACAAATGTGGTTTAAAACAACCCACAGTTTATTATCTCATAGTCTCTGTGGGTCAGTTGTCCAGCTTGGTCCTCTGCTTATGGTCTTACAAGTCTGCAGTTAAGGTGTTAGCTGGGCTGTGTTCTCATCTGGAGGCTTGACTGGGGAAGAGTCTTCCGAGATCACTCTGGTTGTTGGCAGAATTCATTTCTTTGCAGTTGTGGGACTGAGAGCCCTAGCTTCTTGCTGGCTGTCAGCTGGAGGCCACTGTTAACATCTAAATGCCACCACAGTTCCTAGAGGCCACCTGCAGTTCTTTTCCACATGGGGTTTCACAACGTGGCCACTTCATCAAGCCAGAAAGTAGTCTCTAGAGTATGCTAGAAGACAGTCTTATATTATGTAACGTAATATAATCATATGTATGACATCCCATCACCTTTGCTGTGTGCTGTTGATTAGAATCAAATCACATGTCCACCCACACTCTCGAGGATGGGATTACACAAAGCATGAATACCAGGAGGTGGGAATCATGAGGGGAAGCCACCTTGGAGACTGTCTCTGCAAACAAGGAAAGGTTTAGGTTGTTATCTGCTCTCATTTCTTCCATTTCATTCAGCCACATGGGCCTATTCTACTTTCTTGTTTCACTGCTATTTACCACCACCTGCCCCTGACCTTTGAAGTTTTTTCCAAACCCTTCTCAGGTTACCACAAATTTTTCAGCGTTCAAGTTGTGCCTATGATAATGTCTTCTCTCTTTTCTTCCTTGATAAGGACAAAGAAATCCCCAGTTCAACCTATCAGCTAAAGAAGTAATGAATAAGCATAATTTGTAGGGTCTTTGTTAATTGACTTCTTTTTTAACCAGAGTGTCTCTCCTGGGACTTCTTCCAGCATAGGGAAAGCTGTTTTTTTTGTTTTTGTTTTTTTCATGAACCATTTGTTCTTACGCATTGCTAATCACTGTTGAGAGAGGCAAACCCTCATGGACCTTTAGTATTCCTGAATGTTTTTCTTACTGGGTATGCCAAGAATACAAGGCCCTGATTGTTTTCCATGCCATTTCTCAGGATTGTATTTGCAACAATCAACCTTGACAGATAAGGCAACATTTCCCCCTGGAAAAAGATCAGGCTTGTTTCTTACTATAAAATAGGCTGTGAATCACGGAACCTCAGTGCTGCACACATATGCCTTACTGCCTTACAGATGTTCCTCTCTTGTAACACAGCCCACTGTATGTGCAGGCATCTATCATAGATCCTGTGCCACCCCCATGGCACTTGGTAGACATGGGAAACTGACGCAAAAAACCATGCTAAAGCTCTTGCTATGGCTGTGCTATGAGTAATAAAATCCTTTATATCTGATCCAGGAGTCTTGTGTCTTCTGCCAGCATTCATGGAACAGTAACAGGATAGCTAGTTACGTTACAAATAGAGTAAAATCTCACACCCTGCACAGATCTTGACAGTCCTTATCACTTGTTTTTCTAGAAGTTAAAGCTGATTTTGTTAATTTATCAAGCACCTCATGTGCGTATCTTGGAGCTTGCAGCCCTGAACCAAGCCCCTCTCTTGTCCTCAGGCCAGCCTGGATGTAGACGGTAAGGAAGGGGACGCAGAGACTCGGATGGCTACACATCTGACCTGTGAGTATCCACCTAAGTGTTCCAGTCTGTTGGGTGAAGGCTTTGACTTGGTGTGAACTCTCGAGAGAGCCTAGGTAGTGTTTGACAATCTCTGCGGTGGCCGAGGTACAGAGGACTGCTACACCGGAGGTCCTGGTGCCGAGGGTGAGAGGTGAGGGAGGTGCACGTGGCTCACTTCAGCTTTACCTCTGCTGATGAGCGCAGAGTGAACACACCCTAACGCCAGATTGAGACCCTGGAGCCTGGGAGAGGAGGTGTGCTAATCCACCCCTACTCACCCCCAGTGTCGGCAGACCCACTACCTCTTTAGGACGGGCACCTGGGCCTGGCTCCGGGGTGGAGATCCTAGGTGCGGGTGTTGCAGGAGTCTGGAATTGTCCACATTGGGAAGAGGCCACATTCCCTTCAGCTCCAGGCCCCAGGCCCATTTGTGCCTGCCTGGTGGGGCTTTCAGGGCAACAGATGCTCCCAGCTTGGCAGGCAGGAGCCGGGGAGGGGTATGGCAGGAATTTCAGCTCAGAAGCTGGGCTAGAACAGGGCTTGGGGTGAGCTGGGCCCCTGTACGCTTGTATATGTAACAAGGGTCAAAGGGCCTGGGTGCCTTGGTGCTCCTGGGTTCCCAGCTGAGCACTGAGCCCACCAGGGACCAGCTGCCCTGATGACTGTGCAGCTGTTACTGAGGAAGCTACTGCTTCCTGGACTGCAGATGACCCATTACCTTCAGAAGTGTGTGATATTTGTGTGCCCAGCATAGTTGCAGACTTTACTCATAGTGTGGCTACCTAGGGACAGGGTTAGAGTTAGGACTATGCTTGGAACAGCACTGACATAGTGGTTACGGATTGGAGGTAGGTAGCGGTAAGCATAGGGCTGGAATCACGGTGATGTTAAAGTAGGATTTGGAATTGCGTTTATGGTTCCTGTTGATAAGAGCTAGTGCATCTTGTAGATCTCACCTATAGTAGCTGGAGAATCTGCTTATCTACATGGTGAGAATTGAAAGGGTCTATAAAAGTCTGCTTTCTTCTCCAGCAGTCTGAAGTGTGGGTGGAGTAGGGGTGTCCTATCTGAGTTGATCTGGCACCATTTCCCTGTTAAAAAAGAAATGACAGGCCCAAAATGGAGTCACTTATGCTAAAAGGAAGACTTAATACCTGACCTTATTGAAGTTACAGCCTTCTCCAAGAATGTAATCCAAACTGATCGGTGTGGAAATTTCTGGTCCGCACCAGTGAGGTAATCCTTTCCATCCCCCAAAGGAAGATGAGGTAACCTGGCACATAGATCTCCTTCATCCCCTATAGATAGATTACCTAACCCTGAAATAATCTGTTTTTGTTTTTGACTTCCTTGTCATACTCTTAAAAACCTCTCTTTTTCTGTAGCCTTTTAGAGCTCCCCTCTACTTGCTAAACGGGATGCTGCCCAATTCATGAACTGTTCAGTAAAGCTAACTCGATGTTTAAAAAAAAAAGAGCTCATGCATCTTAGATTAGGATTGTGTTAGGGTTGGAGTAGGGTACTGTTTGAGTTTAAAATTGAGATCAAAATGGGTCAAGGAGATAAATGTTGTGTTGGGGGTCAGTTTTAAGCTTCTGAGATGGTCTGGAGAGGGACTTAACCTTATGCGTTTTGTGTGATATTGATCTGGTTTAGATGAGAGGTTTTGGACATTTTCTGGCCTTCTGCACTTGAGAGTTATAAATGGCCCTATGATCCCTGAAGCTGCGATCGACTAGAGGGAAGTAGGCATCTAGCTCCTGGGGAGAGGGAACATCGCAGTTTTCTATCCTGAACTTACCTGGCCATGTAAACATCTTTTGGGTAATACCCAGCAGCATTACCTTTACGAGGTACAGTTATTCTGAGGGTCTCACTTGAAGGACTGGTTTTAGAGTTGTTTGTGAATGGGGCTGGAGTTGAGGTTAGGGTTAGGGTTGAAAGGCATGGACTGCAGTTGAAGTTTGGGGTAGAGCGACACATGTGGTCATGCCCTGTATCAAGGGCTCCTTCCTGACGAGTCAGGAGCTGGTTCTTCACAGTTTCCTGAGGGGGATTTTGACAGAGTAGGTCTGTCTGGTTTACTCTTCCTTTAGGTTCTGTTTCTGCTGCATCGGAGAGACTGAGGGTCAGGAGCCTGCGGTAAACTGGGGACGCTCCCGGGGGTAGGGATGGGAGTGTAGGTGAAGGACGGGGCTGCTGAAGAGGGCAGGGGACTGACTTGCTGACCGTGGCGTTCCTTTAAAAGCACACAGCCAAGTTGTTGAGACCAGGGGTGTGTGCGTGGATCCAAGACTGTCCTTATTAAAGGACAGGCAATGGGACAGAAATTACAAACCAGAGTTTCGAGGTGGATAAACAGACCTGGCCTGAGGTAGCCTATTGGTTGTATCGGGGAGAAAGGCTGGGAAGGATGGATTGGGAATGCATTTGTGTTTTGGGCCTGCAAGATGGGCTGTGTCTGTCTGCATGTGTGTGGTGCCAGAGTCTGCTGGGGCATGTCTGACTCAGGGTTTTCATGAGTCTATGTAGGTGTGTTTCCTGAACATGTCTCTGGGTACTCTGAGTTAGCTTCTGAGTGGCATTGTTGACTTTATGTCCTCCTGTGTATGTGTCTGTGTGGCTAGGTGTCTGTACGCATGTGTCTTTGACTGTGTGTGAGACTCTGCTCTGGCCTCTCACTTTCCCCTGACCCTCTCCCCTGATGCGCCCCAGCTGCCAGCACTATTTACTGCAAGAGATTGGCTTCCTTTCCCTTCCCACTCTCTGGATTCCCATGTGTCCGGCTGCCTGCCCAGGGCCCTGCCCCTGAGGCCTCTGTGTGGGGCTTGACCTTGGGAATGCTACACTCTGGAAAGCCCCCGATATGCTCTTTGCCCGGCTGTGGACCCAGAGAAGTTACAGTGGAGGAGGGGGACAAGGCGGGAAAGGGGGCAGTTGGCAGCATGCACCCCTCCTTCTGGAAACAGAGATCTCCTTCAGGCCCCCTCTTTCCTCCCCACGCTCTCATCCAGATCAAGTATTCAGGGTCCTGGCCTCACTGTCTGTGCGCATGGGAATGAACAGTCCTCCACAAGCCCCGTTAGGCATCTGGTCCTCTGCGTCCCCCAGCACCTTACAGGCCTGCCTGTGCTCATTCCTCACATCCCCACACACCCTCACGGCTGTCCTCCCTTATTTCCTGTCCCTGCCGTAGACACAGGAACCACTCTTGTCCTTCATTCTGTGACAGCCCAGGCCTGTGCCGTGGAGCAGGTGGGGCAGCAGGCTTTGGATGAATGGTGAGGAGCAGAGGCTCAGCCCCTCTCACAGGTGCAGGAAGCAGCAGCGCCTTGGGGTTTACTCCTGTGCGCATCCTGTGGTTGTTGCCCTCCCTGCGTGGGCTGCAGTGAGGAGGTACAGTAACAAAGCAGCCACGGTCCCTATTTGCTGGGACTTGGTGTTTAACAAGAGAAGTGATTTTGTGGAGAAGCCATTCTCCCGCACTGCAGGCACTCGGTTGCCTGAAATGCTCTCTGTAGAATTCTGAAATGCTCTCTGTAGAATTCTGAAATGCTCTCTGCAGAGCCCAGGAGAAGGGCTCCAGAAGGTCAGAGCCATTTGCCACGACAGTATGGTATCTCAGAGGGCAGAGGCGAACTCCAAAGTTCCCAAGCAAGCATTGCTATATCTCTAGCATCTACCAGCAATTCTGGAGCAGTGAATACCTGATTTTGTGCCCTGCCATGAGAGTTTTCATTCTGATTTTACTTCTTGAGCCGAGGGGGAGCTGGAAGGTGGGGCTTGTGCTAGGGTTATAGGATGGGATGAGCAAGGCTTCATCCTTCTGCAACATCCTGCATGAATCATAGGCTCTGACTCTGTCTTCTCTCAGCTCTTGATTTTGCTGAGAACTGAGAATCCTGAAGGTCTTGGTTCCAGCTCATCTCTGTGCCCCTAGCCCTTTGTTGCAAAACTTGGTCAGCAGCATAAGCCAATGCCGGCACGTGGCAGGTGGGATACATGGGAAGGACCCGCTCCACCTAAGCCAGGATGTGTGCACATTAACCTCAGCTTCCCACGTGATGCTGCTGTGACCCTTCTGAGTCAATTCCCTTCATTCCGGGCCTCCCTCTCCTCTCCTTGCTCTGTGGCTCTCTGCCCAGCTCTCAGCAGGCATGGAGGATGTGCCTGCCACAGGACCCCCTATGATCTTTGGGGATGCTTTAGGAAAACCCTGGAGGGTGTGGCTCAGCAGGCCTGGGCCTTGTGCCTCCTCACCTTGGGGGGCCACAGCAGGGCCTGAGCTCCCATCTGTTAGGCACAGAATCACCCTTCAGAGCAGGGACACAGTCATGCTTCTTCGCATCCTGGCTTTTCTGCATCCTGCTAGCAGGACACATTGTGCTAAGTGCTGGGTCCTATCAGAGGAAGAGTCCTGCCCCACGTCCTGGTTTGATGGTATGTTGAGCCATCCTGGATTTCCTTAGGAATCAGTGAGGCAGGGGCATCCCACAGTCCCCATACCACAGCACGAGGAAGCTACAGCACTTCCTGCCCTTCCTGCAGCTTTTGGCTCCTCTGTGGTAGGTCAGAAGGTGGAAATGCAGACGTGCCACCTTCTGAGAGAAATGAGGTGTCCAAAACAGAGGTCCCTTCCATCCACTGAGGGCAGCCTCTTTGTCTTTCTGCTTCCCAGTTCTCTCCTCCTACCCTCAGACATCCCCAGTCTCTGGATGGACACTAGGATGCCACACCTGC